CATCCAGGTGAAGATGTCTGTGCTGGAGAAGGTTTTAGTTTTCTGCAAGGCTGATGGACAGCTGGTGGTGCAAGATGCTGCGTGTTTTGAGGACTCCACGCGTTTGCGGGTCCGTGGCAAAAGTTGCTGCTCCGCATGCTTGGCCGTCGCAGATCGAGCTAAAGTTGTCCAGTCCATCAGAGAGTGGTCGCTACGAATCAGCTTTGTAGATCTCACCCATTCAATCTTGCACGGTGATCAAAAGGAGATTTTGCAACAGGCTGAACTCATGAAGCTATATTTTCCAGAGTTGGAATCTGCGTCATCGTTGGCCAGCATGTGCTACAAAGATGCATACACCAGAACTCGCAACTACTTCATGTGCATCCCCTTTGCAAGCCAGACCCAAGCGCTCAAGGATTACGTATCCAGGTCACTGAAGTACTTGACTCCTGGTTTGGTGTGTGGCTTGCCTTCTGCAGTTCGCAAGCAGGCAAATATCTACATTGAGTCTCTGGTATCTGGGCAGTTGCAACAGCGTGAGACAGATGCAATGGTCGGAGTCTTAGTTATTTAAAGCATCATCAATTATCAACCAGCCAAAGTCATCCAAAGTATTCCAAAGCCATCCAAAGTCATTTGGAATCAGTTTTGCAGGTATATTGGAACATCGTTGAATATTTTTTGTTTTTTGAACATTTTTTGAACTATTTCGATTATGTTAGTGTATGTTCATATATTTTTTTTATCTATTTGAACCATTTTGAACTTCTATTTGTGCATCGCTTAGTTGTAATTGAATTTAATTTTTTCATACAATTATATTTTCATTCCTGTCACCAATCCTCAGGCTTCGCTTGCCGGAGGATGTCTCAACGGAGACATCATTGCGCGAACTCTGGTGCCAGTATTGCTTCGCAAAGCGGACCGAAAAAATCGATGTGTGGCAAGACCAGGATCGTCAGCATCGTCTCCACAGGACTGATGCAGCTGGGATTCGCTCTTGGAGGCATTCTGGGCAACCGGAAGCTAATTTGCTGACTCCCTTCACGCCCAATTTCTTTTGCGCAGAAGCTACGCAGCTGGAGGAGTCCATTCGGGTAGGCCTCAACATCCTGAGCTTGGAGAATACCAATGCCTACATGGTCATCAGAGATGAAACGGTCTTCGCCAAATCCTTTGACTTGCTTTTTGGGCTCCGCTTCTTGTCAATATTGGCTGCAATGTCGGGGTGATTTGGGGCGCGTGTCAGATAGCTGAATCTGAGGGTTTGTTGAAATTGGAGGGATGGGAGTTTCCAGGATGACAGCACCAGCTTTAAGTTAATCCTTAATGGTTTCGCAGCTTCGCAACTCAAATTGAATCAATATTGACACTTTTTTGGCTCAGATTGAGCATTTGCGATCATTTTCCCATATTTGCTCGCATTTGATCTTCCTGCTTGCCATGGCCTCTCCGTCCAGCGCAAAGGGACAGGGCAAAGGAGCTGGTGAGGCCACACCGCCGTTGACCCCAGTCAGATTCAGTGAGGTCCTCCGCGAGCTTCACGCCAATGGTTTCATCAGCTGGCGGCCAGCTACCCCCAAAGCAAGCCCAAAGCCTGCGGCTGAGAATCCAGAGCGTGAAGATGGTAGCAAGTCTGACGCGTGGAGCTTCATGTCTTCGCCATCAGATGGACCGGTGACCACAGGGCAGGTTATGACTGCACTGGAGGGTGATTCTTTGCAGCCTGATGTTGAAGCGACCGCATTTGAAGAAGTGCTGACCCGGCCGGTTGACGTATTGAGTGCCCAGCTTCGTATCCAGATGGCGACCTTGAAGGAGATTCGGCAGCTGAAGGAAGATCTGCGGAGTGAAGGAGACCGTTCTCGCTCACGTTCTCCCCGCCAGTGATTCCAGCACTGCGGTGTTCTTGGATGATCTCAAGTTATTAATTTTGGACGCCCTTGGAATGCTTCGGATGCCTGTGGCGATCTGTTGCGAATCCATGGCGGCTCCAACCTTTTTGGTTGCCATTGGATGCCTGTGGCGAATCCATGGCAGACAGACGTCAGATGCAGAAAAAAATAGACGACTATTGGAGCTTCTGGGAGGGGGGATAACGAGACGCCCCAAAACATTTCAAAACAATTCAAAACATCCTAAAACAATCTAAAACATATAAAAGGAGAGCATCCATGAAGCACACATGCCAAGATATGCCAATGTTGGTGTCACGCCATTAATTAATCTGGGGGGTGACCTGGTGGAGCATGGGACCAGAATAGATACTTAACATTATTTGAATATATTGAAATCTATTTAACATTATTTAACATTATTCAACAACCATTGATATCAAACAATACACTAAATTAATCTAAATGACATTAACAGAGTGAACCAGAGGTGGGAATCAACCGGATATGGAAACAATTCAGAGTGGAGCAAAATGACGCAGAGCTAAGGAGAAGATGGTCCAATCGTCGTTGGAGGAGAGCATCCAGGCTACAGTTTCAAGGTGATGAGAGTCGGCTGGCCCGCTTGAGCATGAGCACCTGCATCAAGGGCATTGACAGGAGAGGTGGGTGCGTTCAAGTTCAACAATTGCCCCGGAAGAAAACCGGGACGGCAAACGAAGAGTTCTATGATTGTGGGACAATGTTGGCTGCGTGCGTCAAAGCATCCAATGGTTTTGCTCCAGTGTCTCTGGCCTGCAACGGGCATTTGAGTTACACAAAGCTGAATCAGTTTTTGCTGGGGCAACTACCGCAGCACCAGTACAGCGCAATCGCATTCTTCGAGGAGTGTGTTCCAGCATCCGGACCCACAATCCCTCTGTTTGGCTTCAAGGTGATGAAATTCAGCCCGTCCCAGAGCTCATCCAAGCAGGCCTCAAAGCTGTTTGGCTGCATTGATCCAAAGCATATTCTCAAGGCTATGTCTCGGGGCATCAGGACGCCTGGCAGAAACATTACTTTGCAGCCAGGCTTCTTTAATCTGTTTTTTATGTTTTTTTTGTCGCGTTATATTGTGTTTGTGTTCTATCATTGTCTCAGCTTTCCTTTGGCTTTTTGTGGTTTTCTATGTTTTTCCTATGTTTTTCTTATGTTTTCTGATTTTTTATATTTTCTTATGGTGTCTTGATGTTTCTTGTATTTTCCTATATGTTCTTCATTGTTCTTCAGTCATAGGTACGGATTCCATGTGAGCCTTTGCCCAAACCAACTTTGGAGGCAGAAAGAATCATTGCCGCCAAGAGAAGAGCAGAAGCATTACCAGCAGCACAGACAGATATTCCTCGAGAACATGCGATGGTGAAGTTCAGAGATGAAAATGCAGAAGCAGTCATGGCCAAGGCACTGGAAGGAGGAAGTGATTCAGAGAAAGAAGAACAACTATTTCCAGAGCCAATGGAAATTCCAGCCCCGCTGGAAATCCCTGTTGAAGCAATGAAAAGAGATGGAGATGAAAGAAAGCCAAGTGGAGAAGACACACCAAGTAAGGGGCAGACAGTTCTCTTTACAGATGATAGAACACTTGAGCAGGTTAACGCATTTCCCCCTATATACATCATTGCCAGCAGGGGGGCCTAATCCAATTACTCCTATATTATCTTCATTGAGATCGCCGTCAGCGCCATCAAGACCAAGAGAAGCATTTGAATTGCTTGAAGAGGAAAGCCCAATCAAGAAACTTAGGCCATCAGATGGTTCTTGCCAAGATCAGCTTGGCGAAAGTTAGAGGTGAAGATCTTTACCATGTAGATGAAGAGTTCTCCCCAATTGCAGAAGAAGCTGGAGAAGAAGAGTGGGGCGATGAAGAAGATGAATCAGACTTGGAAGGGGTGAATGGACCTGAATGCTTGTGGCGTGATGGAGAACATGAACCTGAAGGAGATCCAGAAGAGTGGATGAGTAGCTGATGAGGTGGAAGAGAAAAGACTCCAGAAAATGAAAGCGCTAGAGAAACCAGAAGGAAGAACAAAAGGAATCAGTTACTTGACAACACGCAATGTGTATGACTGGAGGAAGAAACCATACCAGCTTGGAGATTGTATTTCAGTGAAGAGGTGGAAGAGAAGATCAAGACTAGTTGCTAGAGAATTTGCTTTCGCTGAAGGACATGTAGTGGCTGCCCCCAAGAGTGCTAAGCCTCTCGCCTTCGAAGTTGGTTTCAATTCTTTATTCAAACCAAATCCGTTGGAGTCCCCCACAGCTTTTATCACTTGTAGTGCCCTTCCTCTCGTCAATGAAGCTGACAGCCCATAGAGCTTATTGCACCTGGTTCACCTGGTTTTCTCTGCCTCAGTTGCCAAGTCCATGTCAAATTTGTCATTTGGCTATTCATGTTCCTTCAAGTCCTTCATGTAGCCCTCACCAACTGCACTCAAGTACTTCAAAGACCCATGACTACTTTCTAAATGCCTTGATCTCTTCTTCTTGTGACTTGAAGTCAAATATGATGGGCTTTGCTATCAATCTTGACCAGTCTGTTGTCGATGACCTCTCGTCTTCTACTGCTTTCTTCACTGCCTCAGCTGCTGATGTTGTTGCCAGCGTACTCTGTGCTATAGTTTGAAGGATTTCTCTGATTTCCTCCATCTTCTACTTATACTAATGTCTCTTTGACCCAATGTACTGGGTACAGAGGGTAGCGGGTAGCTTGCAACAATTATTCACCAGTCCAACCGTTTGGGTCCCAAAGGCCCCAAACCTATGGCTCGAAATCGCACGCGGGATCCCAGTGCCCTAGGGGCTTTTCACTCAGAGCTCCAGAGGGGTTACCTCCTTCTCAGCTCCGCTACCATACGCACTTTTCCTTGATACGCAAAAAGGCTGCAGTAGGGTCCATGATGTTAATTATGTTATTCATGTACACATTGGTCTGCACAGAAAATGGTTCGCAACTGTCTATTTTAGCTTAATAATGAACACATATATATAAATTAGTAGCTTGTTTTTTTCCTTATATTGTATTTGATACACGTTTACATTGTTTGCATACCATCTTCGATCCCGTTTCACTTCCGACAAGCTAAGGTTTGGCTGTCCTATCCGATACGTGCATTCGATATCATCCGATTCACGCTACTTACCAACCATTCTGTCCATTGCTCAGAAACTGCTGCGCAACTAGGTTTTCAACATTTGATGCGGTTTCTTATCATGTGTGGGTTTGAAATGTTTTTTACTATGTATTTTGTGTGAGGCGCTCAATTGCTGTCCTGGCATTAGACGATTTTGACATGTTGGAAGCATTTCAGGCAATGCTGCAGCTACTTGAGCTTGGCCATGAGGCCGAAGGTGGCATCCACCTTTGTAATCCTTGGGCTTTCCAGGGCATCAGTCAATGAGTCAAGTCTATTCTTGACTCACAGGTGCATCTCAGTTCGTTGCGTGCTCTCATCAATTCAAACAGGCCAAACCATTTTTTCTTTAGACCAGGCTGATCAAAGAGAGTGTCAATCAAAGCTTTGCCTCGTCGGGCAGGTTCTTTGGGCAAAGCAATCGAGAAGCAGGAATCGGTAGTTTTGAAAGATGAAACCCTTGGAATCAGTGGCCCTTGATTTTGATGCAATCAAAAGCAGCTGAGCCCTTATTCTAGCCAAGCAGGATGACTCAGTCCCTGATGCTGGCGACCGTGTTTTTTTCGGTGCGCTCTCAGATGGATTCGGACATGTCAAAGCTGTTGCATTTTTTCTTGGAATCGCACGTTTGCTGAAAGAAAGTTGCATTCCTTGAAATCAATTGAACACGAAACGAAACTATTTCTTGCTTCCATGTTTTTCCTTGTCATTTGTTCCCCTCCATTTTGTATCGTAACATCTCAGGGCGCCTGGATCCGGATGCAGTCCATGGAGTCCACCGAGGCAACGGACCTCAATACGTTTTCGCTTGAGCGATGGGAAGTGAACGTTCAGGTCGATGAGATATCTATGGGCTTTTCAGCTGTGGTCACACCAGCGCAATGCTTGGCCACATTTGAACGAAATCAGTGTTGGAATGCTTGTGGTCGAAAGCTTGAAACCAGTCACTTAGACTTATATACATACTTGGCCAACCTATGCCTGTGAAGGTATTGCTGAGCGTGCGCCAACGAATTGTGACAGCCGCGCTCTCGACATCAACTGCTTCTTTTTCCAGTTCACCTTTTCTCTTCTCCCTTTTCTCATCAAATGTCTCAGGCCTCCGATTTGGCCAGCAACACCACTGAGAAACAGCGCCGGCAGGCATCGGTGCAGCATGTGTCTCTTCGTTTGGCTCAACAATGCATTTCCTGCAGGAAGGATGTCCGGCGGCCTTGTGTCCCTCGGATTCCACAACCGACGCATGGAAGGGACGTCGACGTAGGAATGAGACATCTGAATCTGAGGCTCCTTTTCCCCAGAAGAGGATGCACCTTTCATATTGGATGCAGAAAACCAAAGCCTGCTGCAACCTCAGTGATACTGTTGCCATTTGACGTTTGCGCACTTGTTTTTTGCCAGGCACAATCTTTCGTTGACCAAGATTCCCACTTCCACACCAGAGGTGGGGTTGCCCACAGATCTTCAACAAGGAGTAAGTTGCGACTGAGACATGATAGGGATCGGCCGATCGGCCCAATATCAACAACAACATGCCAAACGCTAGGCCGGGGTTCCTGGCAATGTGCGGGAGGGTCACATCACCTTGAACTTGGAAAGGTCAGAGCAGGCCCCTGAATATTTTTGTTCGAGCTGAAGCGCTGAGTGTGCAGGATGTTCCCCCAAGACAAGTTGCAGAACTGTGCAATTGTTTAGGCTTTTTACACCTCTTATTTTATTAGCATATGATGGGTTTATTATGGTTTATTAATATTATTCCATCATGATACAGTATCAGCCATTTATTGATATAGTAATATCTTATGAATCAATGGCTGATAGCCTCATAAAAAATTACCAACATAACCTTGGCCACGTCGTCTCTTCACTTTTGCTCGGTTAGGATTATTTTGGTAATTATATTCTTATTCACATCCTATTTTATATTATGGATTTCTTCATTCTTACTAATAAATTAGGATTTGACATCGACAAATCCATTATTTGCATGTTTGGGTTATCAACACATTAAATGCTGTAGACAAACATGCAGATAATAACATCATAATACATTTATCCTCTTCCACTAATATTTATGTTTAATTCTCAAGGTAATAGCCTAAAGAAGAGAAACATTCTACACACCACAAAGAAATACAGGAAACGACGATCACCAAATTATTATTAGCAACCGAAGGGATCCAAAACATCCAAAAATAACAATAACATGGTAAAGGACATTTGGCATGAATTTTATAATAGATTTTCAAGACCATTGATAAAGTTCATGGGTTACATATATCGGGTTCCAAGATCTACTGCAAAATAGAATAAACCAGAAAATCCTGGAACTCGGAACCCGCGATCATATTGTCCTTACGGTTGCTCCTATAATATTCATTGTCATTCATTTTTTATATTAATGATGATTAAATCTGGGAGCAACCGATTAATGTATTTTTTGGCTTTTTGTATTCTATTTTTCCCGAATGCGTAGCGAAGGGTTCTCGTTTAACTCTTGGGGGTCTGGGGGTAGAGCCTTGTTTGCGATCCGTGGTTTCTACGTCCGCAACCGTCCGCAACCGTTCGCAACCGTCCGCAACCGTCCGCAACCGTCCGCAACCGTTCGCAGTAGAGCGCTAAGGCGCTGCCATTGGGGGAAGCTTTTGCAAGTGACTATGCATGGATGTGTCACGTGTGAGTTTGCGACGCTAATCCATTGTGATTTGCGTGAAAATGACATGTCGCGCAAGAAGCGTGATGCATTTCGCTGCACAGGCGCAGCGTTTCGTGAGATGCGCAGTTTGCGTCGCAGTTCCATTGGGATTGGCGTTTGGAGAGTCGTGTGTTTGGGGTGTTGGATGTGGCCGTGCCATTGGGATTTGCGTTTCAGGGTGTGGCATCGAAGCTCTGTTTTCGTGACAAGTCTCAGCTGAAATGCCGATTTTGGTGGATGGGAGTATGCTCAGAACGGGTCGAAGCCATTCCAAACGTGTGGTGTGGTGCAAATTTTGTTGAAGCTCACATGAGATGATATTGTCACTTTTCGTGGCAGGCGCAGTACTTTGTGTGGCTTTTGAGGTGTGGAAGTGCGAGTCTCGTGGCAGGCGCAGGGAATCGTGAGGTTGCGAGGTGTGACGGAGGCGACATTTCGTGACAGGCGCAGTACTTTGCCCGCGTTAGACATGTGGATGCGGAAAGATTCGTGGCAGGCGCAGGGAATTGTGAGGTCGTGAGTTGTGGTAGAAGTGAATGTCGCTGTCACAGTGGGATTGGCGTGTGAACGGGTGTTGTTTGGAGGGGCTGGACTGGCGAAACTGCTTGGCAGGGCTGCGTGATGTGTGTGCTCCGATGGGTGTTTCTGCTTGACTTTTGGAGGAAGTCTCGTACGAAATGCTCGTTTTGCAGACTTTGACATGTGACTTTTGGAGGAAGTCTCGTACGAAACGCTCGTTTTGGAGACTTGACACGTGACTTTTGGAGGAAGTCTCGTACGAAACGCTCGTTTGGGAGACTTCCACAAGAGCGTCCTACAAGAGTGTCCCACAAGACGACAACGAGTGTCCCATAAGAGTGACCCACAAGAGTGTCCTACAAGAGTGTCCCGTAAGAGTGTCCCACAAGAGTGTCCTACAAGAGTGTCCACAAGAGTGTCCTACAAGAGTGTCCCCCCCAGAGTGTCCAAAAAGACTATAAGAGTGTCCCACAAGAGTGTCCTACAAGAGTGTCCCACAAGAGTTTCCTACAAGAGTGTCCCACAAGAGTGTCCCACAAGAGTGTCCCACAAGAGTGTCCCACAAGAGTGTCCCACAAGAGTGTCCTACAAGAGTGTCCCACAAGAGTGTCCTACAAGAGTATCCCACAAGAGTGTCACGTAAGAGTGTCCCACAAGAGTGTCCCGCAACAGTGTCCCACAAGAGTGTCCTACAAGAGTGTCCCACAAGAGTGTCCCGCAACGGTGTCCCACAAGAGTGTGCTACAAGAGTGTCCTACAAGAGTGTCACGTAAGAGTGTCCCACAAGAGTGTCCCGGAACAGTGTCCTACAAGAGTGTCTCACAAGAGTGTCCCTTAAGAGTGTCCCACAGTTGTGGATTTCTCTGTATTATGTGGACGGTTATCATTTTCAAGTGCTTATTTTCGAGATTTTGGGACAATGCCATTGTTTCTTTCGTGATGTGGATCTGCCAGAACCTTTACGCCAGTGCTTGATTTGAATGCAAAACGAAGACCCTTCATGACGAAGACGGAGCTTGGTGGTGAAGTCCCCAGCACAGGCTGCCTTGGTGGTGGAGCCCCCAGCGCATGATGTCCAACAGCGTACCGGAGTGTGAAAAAGATAATCTAACCGGCTGTGTCTCTTTCTATACACGGTGGATTGACATATGTGTTTGCATTCGGGTTCGTGGGCTCCATCTTGTTTCCTATCGTTAAAGCCAGACAATAATAGAACTAGTTTTTGTGATGTTTACAGCATGCACAAACAACATGTCTGAAGGCAACACACCTCTGCGAAAGGCAGCCCAGCAAAGAGCTCCCATGTTTATTGATACGAAAGAGATCCATGCTTACAGAGTGTTAAGGTTTCACATTTACCTGGAAGTTTGTTACAAAGGACTTAGAGACGTGAGTGATTAGAAACCAGCAGAATTCCTAAAGCGCGCAAACCAAGCCGAAACCAATAAACCGCAACCAACAGAGAACCAAGGAGCTAAAGGGGGAGCCCGGTGAGACAACTGGGAGGCGAGCAAACCAAGGTAGCCGGTCAGAAGCTTGCCGGAAAGGAGGGGTTACGGTTGGTGGGGCAGAAAGGCGACGGGTTGGAGAGGCTTCTAAGGGATTCCGACTGAGTCCTTTGCGTCTCTTAAGTACCCAAGTCGTGGTATGCACTATGCAGATGGTGCAGATCTCCTGAAACCCTGACTTCACTAGAATCTCATCACTTGGTTGACTGTTGGTGGGGAGCGACAGCGACAGCACTTGAAGGCTTTGCCAGTCAAGTCAACTTGCAGGTGCAAGCAAAATATGGTGCTCAATCACCACCGCCTGAGGAACAGCATCCTCTCTCAAAAATTCAGCATCAGTTGTGTTGACCATGGTAGCAGTGAACACATTTGGACATTCAGCAATAAGTCTTTGGGAGGCCTCTTCCCTTTCCACGTTTGAACCACAAACTCACACCATACACCATGCTCGCAAAAAAGATTATCGAGGGGCTCATTCAGCATGTAATGTAGCGCTTGTGTAGCAACGTTAGAAGATTCGCTCACGAGCTCACGAGCGAAACATATCATTTCTTTGTGTGCAACCGAGCAACATTTATTATTTTTTTTTATTTTTATTTTTTTAAGAACCATATTTTTTCTGAATGGAGATTCAACACTTCATGCTGCATGCTAGTCCATGATATCCTGAGCATGTTCTCACGATTTCTTCTTTACACTGCATTCAAGCACTTTGAATGCTTTGCGTACAAGCGAATTGGACAACTCATGAAAGAAAGGAGATAGACATCATCAATGATGTCGTCCACTACAAGAGTGCTTACTATGGCACCATCATGGTTGGAAGTCCGTCGGGACCTGTGAAATGGCTTTCACCTGCAGCATGGTGGCTGGCTGGCCTCCACCAAACGAGGCCAAGACCCTTCACTGTAGTCTTTGACACCGGAAGCGGACACCTGATCCTCCCAAGCTCGTGCGAGCCTTGCCATCTCGCCCCTCTACCTTGCGAGTCCTACACTGATCAGGTACTGCCACACAGACACGTGCAAGGTACACCGCAGGCGGGATAGTGAGGAAATACGAGGGACCAACTTGGATTCTAGTTCAGCCTGTCAGGTACAGAAGGAGCTCATCAGCAACAGCCAAAGACATTGATTGGGATGGGCGCATGGTGGGACACCCAAATCAGAGCACAAGGTGTTGCTGCAACTAGACTCTGACTTAACGAATTTGACAAAATTGAAGGCCTTCAAAGACGCTTCAAGCCTTTGCAAAAGCCTTTTTACAGTATTCACTGGGTCCCAATTGTGGTTTTCGCAGAGGTCAGAGCTGGCGAAGCTCGAGATCAGATCACTGCTTTTTGACAGCACTGCGAGCATCAATACGAACATGAACTTTGCATGTGCAACACGTTGTGTTCACACTGACTGCTGCTTGTATTCTCATTTGCTCCTCAGGTATCCTTTGGTACCGGTGAGGTCACTGGTGTGTTTGTCGAGGACACTGGTATAGCCTAGCTGATTCTAAATTAAGTCGGCAGGTGAAAAGAGCAAGCTCCTTGGATCCTTGAATAAGTTTTGAATCACTGAAGAATGCCAAGAGAGAACATGGAAGACCTAGTTTCAATAGGTCTTGTTCAGCTGTGCTTGTGAGGACACAATGTGCTTTGGACAGCGGGGTCCTGGCATGGATACCAGCAGCACAAATGTTCCAGTTGCAGGCAAAGGCTTTGTTCCACTCCTTCAACTTGAGTATGTCACTCGTACGTGCTGCACTGCCAAGTGTGTCTTTTCCAGAAGTATCACAATGTGTTGCTGCATTTAGCTGCTACAATGGAGCTGTGTTTGCTGCTCCAGTTGTCTTGCCCTCTCTTGAGCGAGGTGAAGGTGGAGAAAGCTGTGCCAGCATGAGGTTCATTGCAGCCACAGCCATTTGGCTATAGCACTTCTGCCATGTAGTTCCAAAGTCCCAATCATAGCCAAGTTCCAGAAGTATTCTGATGCATTTTGTTTAGATTGGCTCAGGACATGTCGGCAGATCCTTTCAAAGCAGTGGCCTCAGCTGAAGCACTTTTTGCATGGCTGCGTGGCATTGCCTAGCCTCAACTGCTTCATCTGCAGGATTTTGTGTTCGATGGCGTTCTTGGTTTGGGTCTCGACAGTCTTTCCCAAACACCTGCCTTCAACTTCCTGCAGGCCAGAAAGTTCGGAAGCGATGAGTCAAGCTGTGTATTTTGGCAGCACCCCTGCATTTCTCTTCAGGTGGCATCAGGTCTCACAAGTGAGCTGGGGCCTGAGTCACATGAATTGCAAGCTGCGTCATTCTCTTTCAAGCCCTATGCCCTACGCAACTTTTTGCAGTGGTCCAGCAAAGTTTCTAGGCGTGGCAGTGGCTTCAGCAAAGCGTTCGGGATCTTCCTTGCCGTCCACAATGAGGAGGACAAAATGGATGTGGCAAGAGACGTGTAATATACTTTAACCGTCTTTGACCTTTGCTTACTGATTGGCCAAACACTTACAGTACGTCTCAGTGCGTTTGCTCAGCTTGTTTATGACTTCTGAATTCTTGGACCAGTGTGTTTGCTCAGACCAGTCAAATTACCATGGGTGGATGGGCAGAAGAGCACCTTGAGGAGCAGGCCATGTTGCCAATTGATTCTTTGCGGGAAGTCATGTTGATTCTGATAAGTTTGCACTGCACCAGTATTTCTTGCAGTTTGAAGTTTGAATAGATAATTTGTACAAAACTCCTTCAGTGCCGGTGCTTTTCGCTTCAAGCTCTTTGAGTTCTAGTTTTTGACCATGAACTAGTTGAAACATAACAGGACATGTCTTGACACCACGGCTGCTATACAAACTGGGGAAGGTTTGCAAGCGATTAGTATGCAAGTTCTGTTTGACCCCTTCTACTGCTTTTGCGCATCAGTGACCATGGAAATGGCTTCAAGTTTCTTCTGCATATCCTGCGTGCGTCAATCATTTTATCCTGACTGGACCGTTGCGAAGATTTCCCCGACATCTCCAAACACTGTCATATTGGAACATGTCAGCAAAACATTGTAGAGGCATCTGGCTCCCAGGACAAATGACGTAAGGAGACCTTAACCGCCTAACCAAACCGTGTTTTAGATGCTTGCACTGTTTGCATTTACATTGCAGGTGAGCTGGAGTCCAGTTCTAGATCCAGAACTGGGCCATTGGCTTTTGCAGATCAAGGCGAATCCTAGAGAGCTATGCTTTCGCTTCTTCGCTTGTGTCGGTGGTAACTAGACGAACATGTAGGCACTCCGCGTTGATGGTGAAGTGCTGCCATTTTGCGACGATGGCTGCAAGGCACAGTTGACAGATCCATACAGATGCAATCAACTGCATTTGTTCTTTCCTTTCCTTGACCCTGCGCCTTTTTTTTTCCTGTCACTTGAGCAGTTATTTTTCAGGTATGTAGGACACGGGAAAACCGAAGCAGCAGAGAGGGGAGAAGAGGGCTATAAGATGTGGGGGGAAAAGGTCGCAGCTGAGTTTCTTAAACAGACGAGAGACTGCTGTGAATTCAATGCTGAGACTCCCTGTGAGGCAGTGGTCGACTCAGGGACTTCCCTGCTTGCTGTGCCAACTCCAATTTTTCCGGAATTGTACGAGATGCTGAGGCCAGCCAGCCTGTTTGGCTCAACTCTTCAATCACCAACTTTAAAAGAGCAACCAGAATTAGAGTCCTGCAACGGCAGGTCTCCAGCATCGCTTGAAGGAGAGTGCTCCACGCACGGACCCAAGTTCTTGTACACACAAAGTGTATTTGCAGAATATAATCTTTTACACGTTGGTCCGTGAGAACTACAGAATCGGCATTCACAAAAAACTGCTGGATTGTGGAAATCACTACTTGAAGCCTTGTGGTTTTGTCTCAAGCGAGGGATTTTCATCTGCATTATCCCCTACCATCCGGTCTCTTACAAGATCTTATAAGGCAAGCCATTATCATCACTAAGCCAAGCAACACCACAAGGTTTGACATTGCTTGAATATATGTGTATATATGGGTGCTTGCTGATTAGGGGGCCCCTGGCACACCATTAACATAAGCAATGATCTGAATAAGAATGAGAGTCACAGACCTCATGATTTTTCGTTCGAGCCAACACGCACAATTCGAGAAGTTGCTACCGCACGAACTTTGTCGTGACTGAAAACCATTTGTCTGAAACATAAAGCCAGAAAAACAATAAACACCAATGATCTGGAAACTATGCCCAATCCTAAAGCAAGAAGACAAAACAACCACCAATGATTTGGAAACTATGCCCAATCCTAAAGCCAGAAAACAAAAAAACAATGATTTGGACACTATGCCCAATCCTAAAGCCAGAAACCTCAATAAACAATGATTTGGACAATATGCCCAATCCTAAAGCCAGAAAACCCAACACAATGATTTGGACACTACGCCCAATCCTAAAGCCAGAAAACCCAAAGACACAGTGATTTGGACACTACACCCAATCCTAAAGCCAGAAAACCAAACAAAACAATGATTTGGACACTACGCCCAATCCTAAAGCCAGAGAACAATAAAACATCTGGAAACTATGCTCAATCCTAATGCCAGAAAACCAAAAAGCCAGGATTTGGACACTATGCCCAATCCTAAAGCCAGAAGACAACAAACATCAATGATCTGGAAAAACCTAAAGCCAGAAAACCACAAAACTATGATTTGGATGCCCAATCCTAAAGCCAGAAGACAAAACAACCACCAATGATTTGGAAACTATGCCCAATCCTAAAGCCAGAAAACAAAAAAACAATGATTTGGACACTATGCCCACTCCTAAAGCCAGAAAACAAAAAGCACCAATGAAACCATGCTCAATCCTAAAGCCAGAAAGCAAAAACAGCCACAATCCTAAAGCCAGAAAACAAAAAGACACCAACCAAATTAACACAATTACTGTATTTGGAAACTATCTTCATCCTACAAAGGTTTGGACTAGTTTGGAAAATAGTTTTTTTTGGCTTTAGCCTCATATATGTTGGGATGACTAGGTTGGTTTCAGATGTAGTTTATACACAGTTTATAAGCACAACAAACAACACATGTTCATAACCAATTCTTCTGATGTGGCTAATCATTTGCAGCAGCCGTAGCCCGTCATCTCATCCTTGCACCAATGTCAGCATTTTAATTTCAATCCCGTAGCGCGTCATCTCATCCTTGCACCAATGTCGTTTGCCTTCGAAGCGCTGTGTAAAGAAGCTGGGTCCATGCAGTTGACAAAGCTGGACCAGATCTGAGCACAGGGTTGTTTACCATTACAATTACATCTACAACAATAAGGCACTATATTATCCAGTGAGTGGGGCTCAAGGTTAGAAACTCTTTGGCAAGTTGAGTTGCACATAACATGCCAACCCTTCATATCAATATGAAATCTACACTCACAATAATTGCGCTAGTTATTGGCACTATTCAAGAACCACTGAACATATCCTTCTTTTGGTACTTTTCTTTTGGTGGCTGCTTTATGATGCACTTTGTAGTTTTTCCATCAAGCTAGCTCAGACTGCATCTTGTACTAAAACCATCATTGGTGATCATGACTGTACCTAAAGAATCTTAAACCACTTCATAATCTTTGGTGCTTGTCAGCTCCTGAACTGGCTTTAGCTGTTTGGCATCGGCATCATCTGTTGCAGAAAAGTATTGCTCAACAAACTATTAGCTTTTCCAATAAACACTCAGACCGATGAAATAGATTTGATCAAATACAGTATACATAGATTTGATCAAATACTGTTACGTCAAATTCAGAGTAACCAGATGGTCTATTTTAACATCACCAACACTTCTGCCAGATAACTGAAAGCCATCCCACCCAACCCCACTCCCCATCTTCCGAAGCGCCTGTGTATGTGTCGTCATTTTCCAAGCATAGCCCAAATTTCCGACATGTAAGGACATCCTCGTCCAAACACGCAAACGGAACTGTCAACAGGTACAAACAAGAAAGGGGTTGCCCTGACTCAAGGGATGGGGGGTTTTCCGGGAAGGGTATAACATGTTCATCGATTTCATAACATCATCATCACTTTCATAACATTGTCATCGGAGGATCATGTGATTAAATTTGCCGGGTGGAGGGTGCGGCAGCATCTATCATCAGCTTCACACCGTTATCATCAGTATCGCAACATGATCATCGGTTTCATTTCTGAGAAGATGACCGGAACCACACGGAAAGGTGTTGTTCGCTGAAGCGCGCGGCCGTGAACGGCTAATTCGCTGCTATTTACAGTACATTCATGACTCGCGACATCATCCATCGCCACTTCGACTGCGCAGGCTCGCTGAATCTGGGCGTCTGCGGCGGGTGCTTCTAACGACTACGCTCTCGTTGTGGCGCCGTGCGCATTTTCGTGCATGGTGGTGACTTTTCGAGGCAGGCGCAAGGGAAACCTCGTGGTTTGGTGCTCCAAAGTCGACTTTTCGTGACAGATCGGAGCTGTTTTACTTCGAAGAAATGCAGTTTTCGTGCAAGGTGTAGCACTTTCGACATGGTGGTGATCGTCGAGGAGCTGAGATTTCGTGACAGGGGCAGTGAATCGTGACTTTTGGACATGTGGCTCGTTTGCAGATTTCGTGGCAGGCGCAGCACTAGGTGAACCTCGAAGTACAGATTTCGTGGCAGGCACAGCGCTTGGTGAATCTCGAAGTGCAGATTTCGTGGCAGGTGCAGCACTTTGTGAACCTCGACGTGTAGATTTCGTGACAGGTATAGCGCGTTGTGAAGCTCGAAGTGCAAATTTCGTGGCAGGCACAGCGCTTGGTGAACCTCGAAGTGCACATTTTGCGACAGGCGCAGCACTTGGTGAACCTTGAAGTGCAGATTTCGTGACAGGTGCAGCGCTCGGTGAACCTCGATGTAGAGATTTCGTGGCAGGCGCAGCGCTTGCTGAACCTCGAAAGTACAGATTTCGTGGCAGGCGCAGCGCTGGGTGAACCTCGAAGTGCAGATTTCATCATTTCGTGGCAGGTGCAGCGCTTGGTGAACCTCGAAGTGCAGATTTCATGGCGGGTGCAGCGCATGGTGAACCTCGAAGTGCAGATTTCGTGGCAGGCACAGCGCTCTGTGACCCTCGATGTGCAGATTTCGTGGCAGGTGCAGCGCTTGGTGAACCTCGACGTGGAGATTTTGTGGCAGGCGCAGCGCTTGGAGAACCTCGAAGTGCAGGCGCAGTACTTTGTGCTCTCAGATGCTCACGCTCTCACTCTCCCACTTCGCTCGCGCTCCCTCACACTCTCGCACTCACACTCACTCTCCCACTCTCACTCACACTCACTCTCACTCACACTCGCGCTCACACGCCTCACACTCACTCTCGCGGTCGCAGACTCACTCGCTCTCACTCGCACTCACACTCACACGCGCACTCACTCACCCACACTCACTCGCCCACACTCTCTCTCACTCTCACTCACGCACACTTACTCTCACCCACACTCACTCTCACTCACATTCGCACTCACACTCACTCTCCCACTCATTCTGATTCTCACTCTCACCCACACTCACTCTCACCCACCTTCACTCTCACTCACGCTCACTAACACTCACACTCACACTCACACTCAATCTCACTCTCACCCACACTCACTCTCAGACTCTCACTCACACTCGCACTCACACTCACTCTCCCACTCTCACTCACACTCACACTCCCTCTCACCCACACTCACTCACACCCACCTTCACTTCATCACCACCATCACCTCTCTGAATCCGAATGCGTCTAGATCTCTAGACTTTCTGCTTACAGACCTCACACACACTGTTTGGGGTCTCTTGCCGGGATATATATATATATATATTTATTTTTTCGAGGGTTATTTGTTTTTTGTTTCAGACGCTTTCCTTTTAGAATCAGTTGCTATTTGGGGTCTGCCGGTGTACTTTTATATGAACATCAAGGGCGGATGGCGGGCTTGAAGGAGGATGCAATTCCACTTCTCACGGCTAAAGACACGGCTGTTTTCCAACCAGAATCTTTGCCCTAGGACGCAAGGGAGAGCGAGCCAGCAAGGGAGCGTGTGAGCGAGAGGGCCATTCATTTGCAAGTGCGAGTTAGTTCGATCGATGCGTCCGTCGAAGGGATCTTGCTTTCGATGCGAGTCGAAAGCCGGTGTATATATATATATACATACACGTAATACACGTATAGAATTGGAGGCCAAGAACATGATATGCGGTTGGCCTTGCCTAATTTGAAGGCCGTCGCAGTACGTATGCAAGTTTATTCGGTGGACTGAACCGTTTACGGGTGGTTGCACGTGGGCATTGCGAGTATTAATTGCAAATGCTTTCAAAGCGTGCGATTACAATGTGGCCTGTTCTCCTGTTCGACTTGCGCTCTCGTTGCAGCGCTTGATCGGTGGTAGTTGAAACGCAAGAGATGGCGAGCTGATGGATTTGAAACGTGATGTTTTGCTTTTTTGTCATTTGGACTGCCTGGCGTGACGATTCCAAGAACAGTATCAGAGACGTCGCTCAGAGCTACATGAGGCGAAGACGGGGCTTCAAAACCTCCATGCCCCACGAAGAAAACCTGGTACAAGTGGAAGGGGTCTATGAGGAGGCCTCTAAACCGCAGCTCAGCTCACATTCGTTCCAGGAGCCACAGCTGCCAAAGTGCTCGACAAGCGTCATGCCAGGTTGCGAACACGGCCCCCGCAAAAAGTACCTGAGCTATGCTCAAAGCCAACGCGCAACAATCCGCATTGGGGCACCATCTCCAATCTCCTTCTTAGAGCAGAGGTCGGGTCTACCCACAAGACCCTATCATTGTTGGCACGCTGGCTGTGTAGAGGAGCACAAATTAAGATGGGAGAAGGAACGCAAACTCCAAACGTCATGGGTGGAATCACTGTCAGGGCCAAAAATCAACCGGCAGTGGCAGTGGAAGAGGAAAAGAACCCGGAATGAGCTTCCCTCAATTGAGCCTGAACTTAGGTGAAGGAGACCCAGCCAAGGTCCTGCTATGTGAACAGCAGCATTGAAAAGGGTTTGCGTTTGTGACAATGCTGCATGATTCGGCCCGGCAACGCTTCATGCGTGGCAGAAGTTGAATAACACCATTGGTTTCCCCAATGCCTGCATTGCACTATAGAGGAGGATGTATTCCGCCACTCACATGCTATGTATGTGGCTTGGACGTAACAAATCATGAAACCCTGCGCGCTGTAAGGCAAACTCTGCACACGAAACCAAGGGATGCATGTCCGTAACCATGCCCACTCTGAAGTGCTTGGACATCTTATGGCACAAAACGAACTGCTTGTGGTTTACAGTGCTGTTGTTGCCTCGAAACTTTACTAGGGTTGGGGTCCTAGAGACAACCGACAGCGTCGGCTCCGAAATGGAGTGAATACCAGAGTTAAATCTTCTTAACTCTGGTGTTAATTCTTTGTCCTGGGGTACAGATCAGCATGCGCCTCAGTAATTCCTAAGTTAATTCCAAAGTTAATTCCTTTTGTCACCCCTGCTTCTTCCGGAAGCAACTCCAGAAATAATTCTTCATCGTTTCTTTGTGTATCGGGCCCCTTCAGGACCCTTGAAAAAGAATTGAATCCAGAGTCAATTCCTTTCCTGCTTTCTGTACCCCTTGAAAAGAATGAATCCACAGTTAATTCTTTTTTGGTGCCTAGTTTGTCCCACCTTCTTATCTTCCTAATCCTCTGTCACCTGCCTAGAATTCATTACGGCTAAAGGTGAACAAGAAAACAAAAGACAAGCAAGAGATAGACAAAGAGAAGGAAGCAAGGAGAGAGAGTGAAACAGAATTAAGTCCAGAGTTAGTTCTCTATTTGCACAAGTGGCAAAGTTGACATAATTAACTCCAGAGTTATATAATTCTTCTAGGGTTACAGGTTGAACAGGTGTAAAGTTAAAGTATTAATTAACACTGGAGTTAAAACTATTTAACTTTTGTATTCAGCCTCTTCCCGCAACAATACCAATGAGTTCGTAGAATGAACTGATGAAATGAAACATAGAAAACACAAACAGAGTCTTTCAAAAACACATATAGCATATAAATGAAGTCATAATCTGAATTCAAATCATCAATTAGACTATTTCAAAAAAACTCACGAAACTCAACAGTCAGCTCAAAACATCATTAACAAACATAAAATGAACATTTCTGGCCAGAACCTGGCACACAACATCTTTATCGCAAACAAGCAAGCTAATGAAGTACTCCATGCCCCTTTCGCAAGGCCTTCTCAGCAAAATCAACCCTTGCTTGAAGTCGTAGCCAGCAAACGAGTGAAACTATTAGTCATGTAATGAGACGAAACCCCATTCAACCGCAACACCGAGTTACTTCTCTTCTAGTTCCGCACACCCCAAAGGTTCCTGATGCTCGTAGAGTTCCGAGAAGCGCTCGTCTTCAAAAGCAAAACTTTTGAACATCACGCCAGAGTCTTCTATCTCTCTATCTCTCTCCCTCTCTTTCTTTCTTTTTATTTTATTTTTTCTCTCTCTCTCTCTCTTTTTCTCTTTGTCGCTCTTGCTCCTTTTGTGAACAAGTTCCTCTTTGTGAAAGCACTTTGTGTCAGCAACCCATGGCCTATGTATGACTACGTCCGCTATTTTCTTTGTCACTTTCTGTGAAGAAGTTGCCCTTTGCAAATTGCTGCTTGTGATTGATCACTCTTCTATTTCCTTGAAATATTATAGCTTTGTACATTGTAGATGCCTCGTTTTCCCGTCCAAGTCAACAGGGTAGGGCCAGCGGCCACTTGTTTCACCTCCACAAAGCTGGCTTTGGCAAGCAAAAAACCCTAGCAAACGTGCTGGCAAGCGATTCAGGCGGAGTCCACGGCTCCAGATTGAACTGGAAGGTTTCACTGTGGAACTTGATGGAGAGGACAGCAGAAAGCTGGCAGTTGTGGGTTTGGTAGGTTTTGCGTTCAAAGCTGCTGGCAGGACTTCAGCAGGCTGGACCAGAAGTCAACCCCAAGCACTCCTGAATGGGGTCGTCCGCATACTCCTGCGGAGGAAAGCTTGCTGCTGACTTCAAACGCCAATGTGTGTCGTGAAATGGAGCAGAATGCAGGAGACTACTCGAAGGGATATGACTTGCAAGCCCATGCTCATGGTCATGGACCTGCTTGTGGCTGAGTTCAGCAGAAAACTGTTTTGGCTGAGCGCCACTGATTTTGTTAGGCCTGAACCGATTGGGCCAAAACTTTTTATTCTTGGAGAGCCTGTCCTCAAGACCGGACAATTTGTGGTGGCTTCTGGTGAATGCAGACCAATGTGAATGACACTTGTGACTCTTGAATGCAAAGAGATCTTCAGAGCTTGGAGGAAGTTCTACACTGTCTATGATGCTGAGAAGAAGCGCTGCTAAGCTGCAGTTGAAGCGACTCCAATCACAGCAGGGTGGGACCTTGGGAGTTCTACAGAGCACTACAGATCGTTGAAAACAATCGGAAAGGCTTTGTCAGACCTTAATCTCCTGCATTTGCTCAAACACCAACTTAATCCTCTATACCAACCTTGTAGCGCCTTCAATCAGGGCGCTGGCTGCCATCTTCAAACAGATCTGCACGTGAAATTTGATTTCTCAAGAGCTCAGCTATATATATATATATATAATGGCTCAAGGGCCAATTCAGCATCAAGCCGGAAGGGTACCGGCCTTTCTGGCTGAGCAGTACGGTGCGGCTACCTCTTTGAAGGTTCCTTTGGCCTGTTCGTCGAAGGCGAGGAGATCTCGTTTGGATCTGATGAGGGGCCAAGATTTGGTGTGCAGCCATTGTCACCAATCATGGATTTGGCGAGATCGACTTATAGGGAAGCCCCACCTTTCATGTCTCCATTGCGGTGAACGATGGCAGCTAGATATGGTGGCTGATCTAAAGCAGTGGAAGCATGTCAGGTGGGCTCCATGGAACTTTGACCACAAAGGTGCCCAGTGGCCACGAAGATCATACAAGCAGGTGCTCCTTCAACCACAGTCTTGACAGGAGGGGGCCAGGGCCTAAGCGGAAGAAGCAAAAGTCCAAGGTTGCCTGGCTTGCCCATGGTGCTTCAAGAACCTTGCAGAGTCTTCCCATTGAGCTCAAGCAGGCTGTTGAGAAGCTCATCGAACCAGCAAAGCCGGCACCCACACCGCCTAACAAGTTGAAAAGGGCGGTTGGAGTGCTCAAGCAACTGTCGGCCAAGAGGAGTGCACTTCAGGATGTTGTGAAGCAGCAATATGGTGCTGTGTTGGGAGAGCTCAAAGAGCTTTAGCAGAAGATTGAGGAGGCCCAGAAAGAGTTGTCGCAACAAACGAAATCGTATAACCAACAGCAGGAACAGGAGAAAAAAGCTCCCACTGAGGATCAGCTCAAGGCCTTTTCGAAGCAGCTTGCAGAGCCCGCTGCCAAAAGAAGGAAGTGTGGGTAACATGCAACGCATGGAAGGACATTAAGTATACGGGCTGTTGCTTTGCGTGCAATTGAGCGAGTGAAGTTCATCCTGGACGACAAATGCCATTTCACACGGCAGGCCAGAGAGTCCGCAAAGGACAAGAGAGAATCTGCTGCTGCTAGACAGAGGAAGAGTGAAATCGGCCTTGCTTAGCAATGGAGTTGAGCAGGGTCATGTGTGGCGTGTCAAAGGAGCGAGCCTTCAATGCAAGGGTTGCAATTGGCACCTGAAATAGTTGAGGACAGAGCAATGCCCTCTTGCGGGTGCTCCCAGCAGCAAAGGAGGGGCCGACGAAGCTCAGGTCAGTAAGGCAGACATTGTGCAGCAGACGCTTGATGGCACTTTTCCCAATCAGGGTACACGCTGGAGATCAAGAAGAACTATTTAGCTTGCACTTGTTGTGGCCGGATGAGTCTGCGCCATAGCTCCGCCGACAGGTTAACCCTTGTTGTTCGGAAACGTGCTGGAATGAAGAGTGGAAACCTCTACTTCAGTGGCAAGGCCAGTTGTCACACCTTTTGTGGCGGAAGGGCGACAAGGTTTCTTGCCTGGGCCAAAAATGTGGAGCCCAAGCCAATAGCAGCGAGCAAGGCTTCGTGGCATCGCATAAGCTCAGACGGAGTTGTGGCGAGAAGGGCGATCAGGTTGCTTTACCAACGTTGTTTCGTCGCAGTGAGGTCGAACCTGACTTCTAGAACGAAGCTGGTGGAAAAGAGACGAAGAAAAAATACACACACACACATATATATATGTTCGCACCATATACATATATATATACATATGTATAGCACTCCTGGCGTGCAAGACCTGCAAGACCTTGAAGGTTCAGAAATAGCAATCTTCTTTTCTCTATGTATATTTGTGAAAGTCCAGCAAACACATGTCCGAAAGCGCTAGCATAAGAGTCGCGGCAACGACAGCTAGGCCCGCTAGGCTTGACGCAATTATAGCCATTGCCGATGCTTATAGTGTAATAAGTGAGCTGGATCGCATCATTTGGACTTGCGCGCCACATTTACGATCAAATACAAAGACAAATACATGCAAGTTAAGACAACAAAATCGGGTGGAACTTCAGTACTGCGATGTGGTTGAGAGAAATGCGGCATTGCAGGGCCGGTTCACGAGAACGTATTGTGGCAGTATAGCGCGGGTCATGTGTCAGTCGTGTGTTCGCGAATAGCCCACCAGTGCAGTATGGCGGATGACCGTGGGAGTGGCTAATTTGAGAGGATAATGAATGGCTGTCACTTAATTGAGATAGAATGATTGCAGCAAAAACTCTCAAGCTTATACACACTTTTTGGTTGGCGCATTGGGCCATCAAAACAATTTTTTGTATGATTGATCGCAGGGACGTGCGCAGAAGATAAGGCATTGGTTTTGGCCGAGCAAAGCACAAACCAACCAGCTTCGCCCTTGACGGTGACCACTGGTGGCTTGCAGCGGACAGATGCGGAAATGTTCATTTTCTTGCAAGTGTTGAAGCCGTGTTCGCCGTTGAGTCTCAAGATTGTCGTGTAGGAGGAGGAGCTGGCCCAGGCTGGCAGTACTGCAAGCTTGCAATTGCGTGGCTTGTGTACATTGTATGCAACTTAATCATATACATATATGTATACAGAGTACTTACTATCCATTCAAAGTAGTATGTATACATATAGTTTCCTTTGCTCTATCTTGGCTTTGGCGTTGCCCATTTTGGGATTTCTTTCACGTTTCCATACATCGCGCGACATAGTCGGCCGTAGGCTAGACATGTGACCCCGGAGGAGGAAATGAACGACATTGCCACTTCAGTGCCAGCAGCTTCTGCAGCTTAAAAGGCTTTCAAATATGCACTTGTTGTGTTCAACACACACTCAGTGTACTGCATTGCGCACGGTAGTCCACTGTTGTCTTTGCAATGCAGAGTTTCCTGTAAAGCTTGTGCGCAAGGTGGTCTTTGCCAAAAAATTCTAATGTTAATGCAACATTTGCTCTCATGAACTGGGCACATTGAATCTGTGAGAGTGTAGCCACACGCGGCCAATTCTTTGTGACCTATCTTGCAGTGGACATGAGGGCAACTAGTGCCAACAGTGGTGACCAATGACACTAAACCTGGCCTGAGTCTCAGATGGACCTTTGTGGAAATGTGACAGATTGAATCCACAGAGAATGGGCGAGAGTGGTTATTCCATGGGAGGGACGCACCATCTAGTTTCCCCTAGGTCCTATAAACCTTGTCGTGCCTGGCCACTCTCAAGTGAGATCATCACCCTAACCTTACATTTGTTAGGACACTAGTAAACACATTTCTAGCGAACTAACTAGCTAACTGACTAAGAAAGAAATGGAAACGTAGTCAAAAACATTCATCCTTGCATATCCAATCCGCTAACACGAAGGCCCAAAAGCCATTAGAAATTGTGCGCTTTTCGCTTTTCATGGTAGCGGAGCCCTGGCCGTAAGAGCCGAGGCTCCCGCGCACGTGCCACTACGACGAGGCCGACCTCGACATCTTCACGATCGAGCTGGAGTGGAGTGTGGCTGAGTGAGCTGCTGATCTTGGCCTGTTTGGCCAGCGGCTTTTTGGTTGGTGGCTTGCGCCAGGAGATTTGCTACTATCAAAGTGGCGCAGGACCAGCAGGCCCAGTCAAGATCAAGAGGAGGACCTTCCACAGCATCTACGTGGATGCGGACGACTACATTGGAAAGCTCAAGTGGGTGAAGAGCGAGAGAGCAGCCGAGGCAACCCTCTTGGTGAGGAGAAGAAGGCAAAGAAGAAGTGAAAGAGGGATTGTCGAGCGCTCAGTGGTTGTTCCTGCGAGCTGGCAGTTCCTAGACAAGCTTGAGGCGACGAGAAGATTTGGAAGAAGGCCAGATCGGTGCACTACTGAGCCAGTGGAAGTTTTGGGAAGTCCTGAATTAGTGGCATACCATTCGAGGTTGAGCAAGACGGTGCACACCTTACCTCTAGGTGCTACTATCCAAAGGCATCGCAATTGCAGAGGATGGCAGACGCAAGTTTGAGGTTGGTGGCAGCAGCCTAAGTTGAGTGTGAACCAGGCCTCGCAATCCTGGTCAAGACATTTGAAGCCCCCTGATGTGTTCAAACCTAACACAAGGGACAATGAATTGAAGATGTGGAGCGATTGGAAGTTTGCATTTTGCAGCTACATTCGAGGAATAGATTTGGCAATGGCAGCGGCTATGGATGTGGTGGAAAAGAAGGTCAACAGCGACTACACCTTCGACGACGTGACAGAGGAGATGAAGACCATGTCGGTGAGACTATATAGTGTGCTCACATCATACCTTCGAAACCGCCCTCTGAAGCTGGTGAAGCACATCAAGCAGGAGAATGGGTTCGGTGCTTGGCAGTTGTTGTTGAAGGAAATGCAGCCAGCTACAAGTGCGAGGAGCCTTGCTTTGTTGACCCAGCTCTCAAGAGTGCAGTTTGGCGAGGGCAAATCATTGAGTGAACAATTCCCTCAGTACGAAGCCGTCTACGCTGATGACGCCAGGGTGGCTTCGATTCTACAGGGATGCCCTGCCTACATGAAACAACACCTTCAACTGTGGGTTGACGGTCACACAACCTACGATTCACTGAAGGCAAAGGTCATGCAGCTGGAGTCACTTGCTACAAAGTGGGATTCGAGCAACAGCCTGTCCCTTCCCACAAGATCAAGTGCTGATGACAGCGCGCCAATGGAGGTGGACTACATTGGAAAGGCGTACGACAAAGGAAAGAAAGGTGGGAAGAAGGGCAAAGATGCAAAAGGCAAGGCGAAAGGAAAGGGCAAAGGGAAGACGAAGCAAGAAGGGAAAGGACTATGGAAGTTCTTTGACAAAGGCAAGAATGCATGGGAGAAAGGTCAAGGAAAGAAAGGAAAGAACAATGAGAAGGGAACGAAAGGAAAGACAGGAGGATGCTTCATTTGTGGCAGACAAGTCGAGTTCATCAGCAGGCCCAGCAACGTTGACAAGAGAGACCACGCAAGTGTAGATGGTGAGGGTCACTACAGTGCCTGAGATCCTCGCAACAGAGATCTTTGATCTGACACATCAAGAGGAGGATGACGAAGCGATTCAACATCCTTGGAGAGTGAATGGATGAGGAGTTCTTCGACTGCCAAGTAAGAGACACCAAGTCACGTCCCAGTGATTGCAATGGACATGCAGATGCATGAGACAGATGGAGAGGAAGCCAAGCTCGCCCAGACGGTGAAAGTGGTGACACTGGACAGTGGTGCAGATGTTTCAGTCCTGCCACTGCACTATGGCGAAGTCAGGACTCGGCGGCCAGGTTCAGAGAAACTGAGGATGGTGGACGCACAGGGCACAAAGATAGTTGATCAAGGGCTGACGAAGGCAAAGATCAAGATTGGGGACAGTGAAGGGAGAGACATTGAGTCGATAGAAGAATTTGTGTTGGGAAATGTACAACATCCCGTACTATGTGCTGGACGTCTTCTACGACGTGGTCGGAGCGTAGGAGGAGGAAGTGAAGGGAAGATGTTCCTATGTCAATGTCATGAGGAACGAAACTTGAAGATCCCAATCAACGCAGAGAGAAACTCGCTCCAATTCGAAGCTAGGATGTATGGCATCGAGGCGGAGGTGTTTGAGAAGGAAGTGAGCGTGAGAGTGTTTGCGCTTAGAGGATACCTGAGCAAATATGCGGAGGAGCTCGAATTGTCCCCAGGATGGCATCGATTGCCCAATGGAGTCATCGTGTACAGTGATCCAGTTGCCATTCGATTGGCAGACGCAAGGCAAAGTGTCGATGGAGAATGGAAATCGCGAATGACACTCATGAAGGACAAGGGCGGCGTATGGAGACAACTTGAGAATGTGGAGGACTATGTCAGCCTGGGAGATAAAGCTTTCAGAAGAATCACCACGCATCAGAATGCACAAAGGACGTTGAGTTTCTTCTCACCAAGCCGTCTCAAAGATTACTGGGAGCAGGACGCAGACCGCAGAGGTACCAGTGTTCCCATACCCAGAACCTGAAGGAGAGATCAAGCACCACGAATGGTCAGAGGAGGAGCAAGAAGAACCAGAGGAGCTTGAAGAATAGTGGGAAGCCCAAGACATTGAGAAGCCCGTCCTTGCAGAGAAGAAGGATGAAGTTGAACTTGATGAAGTGGTGTACAACGAGAAGACAACAGCAATGGCATGCGCAGGAAGCAAGAAGAGGATATTGGCTCGTTTGATCGCCTTCAAGATCGGTTTAGAGAGCAAGCTACAGCTGAGCATTGCCAACAAGCTCTTCAACAAGAACCAAAAAAGGCCCATGACTTTGGGGCAGCCAAAATTGCCATCATTGAAGGAGCAAGAACTACACTTTGTCGCACATTGGCCTTATGCGCCATGGTGCCAGGCCTGCGTGGCAAGCAGGGCAAAGGCAGACAAAGCGTATATCAGAGGCAAAGAAGCCGGAACTGTGAAAGAATGTCATAGAGCTCGACTTCTTTTACGCCTACGCGGAGAAGGGAAGATCAAAAGGCGCCTGACAAGGTTCAAGAGCGGCAGGATCAGTTCGGCGCATGCCTCATCATGGCCTCGAGTGAAACAAACGAAAGCAACCCATGTCGTGCCAGTGCAAAGCAAAGGTGCCGCAAGCTTGAAGCGCATCATGGAGGAGGTCATTGGATTCGCTTTAGATAATGCTTCTCGAGACGCATGAATTTTGCAGGCAGACTGCAAGAGGGCAACGAGACAGATCTTGAGGGCAGTGCAGCAGGTGAGGAAAGTCATGAACCTTGAGACAGAACACCAGTCAAATGGTTTGGCAGAAAGAGCAGTGCAAATGGTGAGACGCCTAGTCAACTGTCTTCGAGCTTTTGCAGGTGATAGAGCCAACATCGGCATCCTGGGAAACTTTCACCTTTACCCTTGTGCATTCAAGCGCGCAGCATTTTTGATCAACAGGTTCAGAGTGCTCGAAGGAACGGGGAAGACATCATATGAGCTTGCAACAGGTCACAACTACCGGGGCAAATTGGCGCTGTTCGGAGAGAGTGTGATGCACAAAAGAGTGGTGAGGAACAAAGGTTCAGATGGCTTCATCGGAGGCATTTGGTGTGGCAAACATGTGTGGAACGACGTGCGCGTGGTGCTCACACCGGAAGGAGCGTATGAAGCCAGGACCATTCGTCGATTGGCAGCTGAACAGTCGTTCAAAGCCTTGGAGATGGTGGTTGCAAAAGGTTTGCCCTGGAACTTCTCCCCTCAAGGGATACTCATGAAGAGGATTGTGGGAAGACAACAAAGAAACCCCACTGTGGAAGCGGATATCAATCCAGATGAACTTGAGGAGATGTCAAAGACAGTGGCTGCTGGTCTGGTTACACCAGCACCGGGTTTGGCAGCGCAACCAAAGACACCAGCAAGAGCATTTGCAGCACCTATGACACCGGCGCAAACTACGGACGTCAGTGCGGGAATGAAGAGGAGTGCAGAAGGACAACAAGAAGAAGAACCAGAGGCAAAGAAGTTGGACTCAACAGCGTCGCCAAGGAAGACAATGGCAAAGAGAGAAGGTGCAGAGGAAAGCAGAGCAAATAGATGAGAAGAGGCAGAAAGTGAGCCTTGAAGAATCAATGAAGATGGATGAAGAGAAGGGAAAGGCCAGTCGAGAATCAGACTCTGCAGTGGAAGGATCTCCAAGCGCAAAGAAGTCAGGACTATATCCACCGCACTATGCAGGAATAGAAGCAGTTGAGGCCCATGGAGACGAAGAAGCAGGACTCGACTATATGCTGGAAGAAGTCACAGAAGAACACATGGGTTATGGAGGGGACGAAGACGATGACCCTCCTGAAGGCGAGCGCGCTCCGCAAGCTTCTCAAGCAGTTTTGGGTGTGCGCCAGCGCGCTCCAGGCGCGCTCGGAGCGTGTGCTTACTTAAGGGCGCGCGCTCCGGCGCGCTCTGTTTATCTGCTGGCAGCGCGCTCTGGGCGCGCTCGGCCGGTGTTTGGAGGGCACTTTACAGATGCGCTCTGGAACGCGCTGTCCTCTTGTCTTTTTCTTGTCCTCCTCTTCTTGTCGTCCTCCTGTCCTCCTCTCCCTTTGTCGTGTTCTTGTCGTCCGGCTGTGCTGGCCAACCCTGCGTCCTCCTTTTGTCCTTTTCTTGTCGTCCTCTTGTCCTCCTCGCCTCCTCCTCTTGTCCTCCTCATCCTTTGGCCGCGCTGGCGAACCCTGTGTCTTCCTCCTGCTTCCAGCGGCCACGTTTTCGAACCCTGTGGGTGCTCCTGGTCTTCCCCGCTGTCCTCGCGCCACGGTCGCAAAACCCGTGTCCTTCTGTACGTTGTGGGCCCGTTTATCACCGTCTTACCCGGGGCTTGTCCCCTGCTTGGCCACGCCGTTTTCCCTATCTCCACCGCCTTGTCTGGGTATGTTTTCATCTGGCTATGAATGCGACAGCGACACAGCGATCGAAATGCGGTATCACCATCGGATCTTCTCGCGACATATATCCGGTATCCATCGTTTTGCGCGTGTGACACAGGCATCATGAACTGGAGTTTTCAAACATTTACTGTCTAGGTGCAGTTCCCAAACAGCTGGAGGCTTTAGAAAAGTAAACTTGCATTCGTTTCCACCAACATTGGAATTTTCGGAGTTGACGCCGACACCGACAAAAATGCTGACGCTGTTTGGGGTCTATGCTGGTGTAATTTCTTTTTTAAATCACACTACACTGGGTCGTAGCTCAAGACAGACCGCGATGTAGTAGCAGGGGTGCATAGGAAGGAAGTAACGGGCTGCGATGTATTTGCACAGTCGTTTCTTCACCTAACCCAAGCGTTCGTGCGTGTTCTTGCAGTCTGAGGTTGTGGACTTGGCCCCAAAGGGGATCCAGAAATGCAGACAGCGCCGAAAAAGTGGAAAAGGGAGAGGGCCAAAAGAGAGACCGGCCTTAACTCAAGTGTCAGAAGGAGGCCGAACGGTCTTGAAAACCGCCAACCCAAGCACTGGATGCGAAGTGTCAGAAACCCAATGTTTACAATTAGAAATTTGTTCAGAAACGCGCTTCAGTCTGCGAACACTTTTGGGTCGGACTGGGTTGGCGCAAATGATGTCTCTTTCAAAGTGTAGGGGCTTGGTGGCCGGTTGGCTGGATGGCCGTGTGTGTGTGTGCGTGCGTGTGTGTGCGTGTGCGTGTGTGTGTGTGTGTGTGTCACACTCTGTTTCCAAGAGCTCTAATGTGCAGGGGGCTAGCGGCCCATTTCTCGACGCTAGCCAACGAAGCTAGAGAGATGGGTGGGTGAGTCTGTGGACGCGCAGACTTGTACCTGCAAGGCAACTGCTGATCACGCTGTCCATTTTCTTGGTTTGCTTCCATGGTGGTTCATGATACTTCCCACAAACCTTCTCCCCCCGCAGACTTGCAGCAGACTTGCAGCCGCGCTGAGTGTCTGACCGTTTTTCGAGTGCAGTTGCAAACAAGGTTAAACCATACTGTTCTCGCTGACTTTTTCACCTTGCGGTTCACCACCATCCTTCCACCTGATCCCACGGTGGTTCATGATACTTCCCACAACCCTCTCCCCACCGCCGCTTTGCAGCCACTTTGCAGCCGCGCCGAGTGTCCGATCGTTTTCGAGCGCAATTGCAAACAAGGTTAAACCATACTGTTCTCGCTGACCTTTTCACCTTGCGGTTCTCCACCTTCCTTCCACCTGAACTGAACTAACTGAAAACCAATGTCAGAGTGTGACTCGCTCAGTCGTCCCACTTGGGTGCTGGGTGTGATCCTCCGCAAGGAGGCGCCGTTCTCATTCCGGAATTCGTGTAACTGCTTTCACCTCTTCCACCATACCTTGGATTTTCTTAACCGCCTTAGTGTCACCGCTGGATTGCCTGAATCGTAAGCCGCCGGCCTTTCACGGAAAGAACTGCTCAGATTCACGCTTGCAGCTTACTTTCAATTTCAAGAGTGTACGGTCACACATTTTCCACAACGGTCACTTTTGAGATCAGGCACGTTACGTTTCAAATTTAATCAACTGGACTCTGATCGTTTGGGTTCCCACACCAACCCCCCCGGCGAGTTCTACTCCCTACCTAATTAGGGTAACAGAGGGAAACGGTACTCGACACACTTGTGTGTCGGTGCCTTTCCCTCTGTTGTCCCTGTTCTAGTCTACTCTACCCGGGCGGTTTAAGATTAAAGTCCCGCTCCCTAACTATTGCACCTAATGAGTTTCCGCTAAGTAGTCAGTAACTCTAGAGTGCTAGGTATTCAGACACACACATGGACATACGCCCCCTCCCTGCCCCCCCGCTTTCTTTCTTGCGCCGAGTGTCCGATCGTTTTCGAGTGCAATTGCAAGCAAGGTTACTGGGATGTCCCCTGAAGATCTTATTGTTTATCAGGAGTTACTAAAGAAGTTATAAAGTTTACAGGACTTAGCTAAGTGGTTAAGTTGTGAGTGAAAAGCTAGCAACTTAGCAGGTTTGCTAACTGGTTAGCTAACTGGTTAACAGTTTGTATATAAAAATGCACCTCGGTTAGGTTTTTGTGTTTTCTTAATCAAAAAATATACATTTACATAAATATTCACAGTGTCTTTGTATATTCTCCCTGATAGACATGCTTGTGAATTGACTGTTTTCTGCTTCAAAAAGCAAAACAATTTTGTGTGTTCATGTGAAAACACATTCAAGTGTGCCTTGGAATGTGAATCCATTGTCCAGGCTTTGTTGTTTCCAAACACAAACAGAGTTAATCTCTATTTGTGTTAGTGTAAAATATTTTGGTTTTGGTTCCAGGTGTAGTATGTATAGGAGGATGG